AAACCTTATATTGAAACTATCCTGATCTAAGATATCTAGTTAAGAATCTAGGTAGTACTTGATGAACAGGATACTTTTGAAAGGGTTTACTTGGATAAACAAAAAGTAGGCTTGGATCATTCTATCAATTTATCAGATCATCTTGCACTTTTTCTTCTCTAGTGAGAATATAAATAGAAGATCAATAATTGGCATTGAAAACAGTTCAATGAAAGTCAAAAAGACTAGAACCGAAAAAAAACATGGATACTTGCAGGCACTTAGTTTATGTGTAGGGTAAGGAAAGACTTTGCAAAAACATTTTACAATTTGTTAATACTTTTTGGCCATACTTTAAGATCAGAATTATATTGGCAATGTTGTCTGACATGGCATTTTAATACATAAGTTGGACGTAGTTAAGCAGAAAACGTCCAACCCACAAATTGTTAAAAATGAGTTCTTTACACCAGCGAGCATATAATTTCTTGCTTTATAATATGCAGAAACCGTCCAAGTGAAAACATTACATACTCTTTTAATAATCGTCAAAGTTCTAACCCACAAACTAGGTTAACTGAGATTTTCATTGATAATAAAAAATCCAAGTGGGTTGAATTTTTTCTAAAAAATGTATGTCGATCTAAGTAATCGTGTTAAAAGAGTGGTTAAAACAGGCTAAGTGGGTTGGATCACTTTAACGCTCCATGCGATAACAAAACTACTGTGCATTTTTTTGTGTTAAAAACATCCAAGTGAATTGGATGTTTTCTACTTATAAATTTCGGTATACTTGTTAAAAATAAGAGTATAATCAGAAATCGTCCAAACCACTTGGTATCATTTTACGTTTACTATTTCATTAATATGTTAAAAGTAGTTTGAATCTTCAATTTCGGTCGATAATAAAATTTTATTACGGGAATGTGCCCTATTAATGTTTAAAACGTGCCTTGTGCGTATAAACCCTGGAACTTGGTCGATAAAAATTAATTTATTATAGGTACTCATCTTAAGCATAGTAATCACTTTCCTTTAGTTTTAAGTAAATGTGCCTATGTATTGATAAACATTTCTTTTTATTCAGTTGTGTCTGATTTTTCTGACTGTTCGGGTTTAAAAATACTTATTTAATAATAATTATGTCGAAAAGAAGCAAATACATGTGTGAGCTAGCAAAACTTATGGAAAACCAAACAAATAGTGTAATGTCTAGCGTGGAATTTGATTCAAATATTACCAATGTTGAGGTAAGTCGGAAATTTTTTATTAAAAAATAACTATATGTTGTTTACTGATTATTTTTTCGTGGTTTTCGGCCAGATTGAAGAAATAACACAAAACTCTCTTTTTTTTTACGACGTTTCAATTTATTTTGTTACTAAATCTTAAAAAAAAAATAAAGAAAATAGAAGAAAATAGAGTTTTGTGGTATTTCTTTAATCTGGCCGAAAATCACGAAAAAATAATCAGTTTATAAGACACGGCTTCTAAAAGTTTATGTTGTTTACTAAATTTTTAAAATAAATGCATTTTATACATCATTACATAATTTAAATATATTGTAGAATATGGATGATACCAATGTGACAGAATTCTACCGTCACAGCGAACCATCGTCATCCAATAGTCGTATTCGTGAAATGGTTTTAAACGAGAAAACTGGATGTTTTGAATCAGCTTCTACCATAGATTCTGTTGATGATTATGATGTAAGTATTAAATCTTTGTACCTATACTGTTTAGTAAAATGCTTTATAATGCTATTCGCTATATTATTTCTATTTAATGAAAACTAAACTTTGATGTACCTATTGTTACAATCTAAAAGAAAAAATACAACTTCCTTAGGTACACACAATTTTGTAAACACATATGTATTAATCTTATTATACCAATGTTAAATTGATACCTATTATTATGATCATCAATTATTATTGATTAAAGTAATTATACAATAATGTAAAGCATATGAAAATTATTTTTCGATGAGTACCTATAGTAAACTTTATGAAAAAGATTAATTTGAATGAATTGAATTTGTTTTATTTTTTGGTACCTGGTAATTGATTAAAAGTTAACTTCTTTAATTAAAATAGACGCTTTCTATAATTTTTTGAAATTTTTATTTAAAATATTATCTAATAATACCTACCTTTTTATTCTTACAGAATATGTCAATAAGTGATGTCTTTAGTAGCGGTTCCTCTGATATGTTTATACCATCGTCACATGAAGAGAGTTCCGATAACAATGAAAGTTGTGATGATAATCCATTTTTAGCCAGTACATCAGGTCGTCCAAAGAAGGGTAGAAAAAAGAAATTTGCAATGACGCGAGCAACATCAAAGATTAATAGGAACAAAAATGAATCTTACATTGACTACAAAGGAAAATTGAAAGCTGCTAAAGAATTTCAATATGACTACAATTGTAACTGCCCGATGAAATGTTCTGAGTTGATTTCTACAGAGTCACGAAAACAAGAATTTGATCGTTTTTGGAGTCTTGGGTCTTATAATGCCCAAACTATCTTTATTGCCAATAATATCCACGAAATGCCGAAAAAAAGAATGTATGGAAGAAACACTGAAAGACGTCTGTATTCCAGACAATATTCCTTACTTATAGGCAAATGTTTATCAATAGTCTTAGAATAACTCCGTCAAGAGTAACAACAGCTCTGAGAAAGGTAAACAATCGTGCTCCAATTCTTGATCAAAGAGGTAGAAAACAAGGTGGTTTAAACAAAGTCCCTGAAAATAAAATTCAGGAAATAATCAACCAGATCAATAAACTGCCTAAGTACATATCGCACTACTGTCGTGAAAACACGTCTGCATTATTTTTACCGGCACATCTCTCATTATTAAAGATTTATGATCTATACAAATCTGAAGTTCAAAACCCTGTGAAATTTGGTATTTATAAGAGGATTTTTTACGAAAAATTTAATTTGAGATTTAATGTTCCCAAGAAGGACACATGCCAGGTATGTGATTCATTTAAAATAAAACTACAAAATGAAACGGATGATCATAAAAAGCAACTTTTACAAATTGAACTCGACACTCATCAGGATTTGGCCCAAAAATCACGAGAAACATTAAAGGCAGATTTAAAACGAGCTAAAGATGAGGATAATGTAGAGTGTTTAACATACGATCTTCAAAAAACTCTACCTTTACCCAAAATTCCAACCAATGTAATATATTATAAGAGGCAAGTTTGCTTGTATAATCTCGGTGTATTTTCAGGCAAACGTAATAAGAGTTATTCCTATGTATGGCTTGAAGGAACTGCTGGAAGAGGACTCAGGAGGTTGGTTCCTGTATTGTAAAATATTTAGAAAACATAGAAAGTACTGTTGAACATCTTATATTGTGGTCTGATTCTTGTGGAGGCCAGAACCGTAATATTAAAATAACACTCCTCATGGCCAGTCTTCTTCAAACCAGCCATAATATAAAAACTATAACATTTAAATTCCTGATTTCCGGCCATAGTTTTCTACCAAATGATAAAGATTTTGGGGATATAGAATGTCAACTCAAACGTCAAGAACGAATATATACACCTTTAGACTATATAAATATAATAAATTCATGTCGTAAAAAGTCTCCAATAACAGCTACACAAATGAAAAAGGAATGGTTTTTGAGTACCCACCAGCTCGAGAAGGCCACAATAAACAGAAAAGTTGGCACCAATAAAGAAAAAATAAATTGGTTGGAGACAAAACAAATTATATTAACAAAAGAAAATCCTTACCACATCTTTATGAAACCTAGTTATTTTGGCGATGAAAGTGTATGTTTGGATATTGAGCGACGAGGACGATTAAATACAGAGAGCTTTTCGGCGCTGCTTATGCAACTCTGGCCCAATGGTAAACCCCTGTCAGAGGATAAAATTAACGATATTAAAAGCTATTTACATCTAATTCCTTCAGACGCTAAACCGTTTTATGAAAATTTTACAAGTGCTAATGTAGTCGAAGACGTTGATGGATTTAATGTTCCAGTTCTAGATTTTGAGGTAGATACCCACAATAATTAAAACTTTTTTTAAATTTACATTTACATAAGAAAATCATTGTAATTTTGTTTCTTTGGATCATTAAAATTTTTATAAAAATATGACATTATTTATTTATCTGAAAGATTCCAACCCACATAAGTATGTTTTATCGAAATTTTTTTCGGATTTTTGTTTTTTGTTAAAAACGTCCAACCTAAAATTTTCAAAATAACTTCATTGAAACTTACATTTAAAAGAAATTACAAACGAGGTGCCTACGAGATGAATATCATTATCTTAAAATCATTGCCAGGCGAATAAATTATGCATAGTTTAGCTAGGGCACACTAAAATCTTTTAAACTCAATTTCCCAACAATCACTTTTTTTGGGTTGGACGTTTTCTGCTTAACTACGTCCAGTTTTAGAATAGGAATATGTAGGTACCTATAGAATTATTAATTATTTAGATATAATACCTACTGCAATCATTTTAATATTCAATTATATTTGGTTCCTCATTTATATTGTTATTATTTTTATTGCACCTATATTCATATTTTTATACAAAAATTTAAAAATAATAAGTATATAGGTTCACATCAGGTTCTTTTGTTTTCCGTTTATATGAATAGAATAATTATTATCCCAAGCTATTTTTTACAGTTTTGAAAAATTATAATTTTGGAACTTCACTTCTTTCCGAACTATAGAAATAAAAAAGAAGTTATTTACAGATTTGAGTATAAATCTGTACTTTTTTTGTTGTAACTGACAGTATCAAAACAAGAAAAAAGTTATTACCAAACTAAAGCCGGATCCAAAAAGCTGTATTAGTTTTGCTCGAAAAACAACAATATATACAAGAATATAGAAAATTATGTCACCAAAACAAAACAGCGGAAGGAATAAAGTACCTACACCAAATGCAACTCTGGCAAGGGCACTTCAAGTCATTGTCCCTATGCCTTACTAACTGAAAAATAATCAATTGTATCCTACCTTAAGCCTGTTTAGGTTGCCGTCACGGGCAGCATTGTAGACTACGCTCTCATAATCCATATTTTGTGTCACTTTTCACTAAAAAAATCACGAAAATCACACTAAAATAAACGTTTTATTTTCTAAATTTCCATTATCACTCAGGCAGACTTCTGCCGCAGCTGATTTGACAAGGAACACTGAAAAACGAAACGAACTACGTTCACCCAATCAGGATAAGCATACACACGGTATGCGAGTGTTGCCGCAGTTTAGAATTTGTTGGCAGAACTACTAATTTTTAAATTATATCTATCCCTATGTAGTCTTGTTTTAGATAAATATTAATTAAAACCTCCTTCTCGTAGAATGTATTTATATGACAAAATTTTTAATTTGATTAAGTACTACCACAATTTCTTATTTCAATGTTAATTAACAAATTTTCTAGGTACTCTCACTTTCGACTAATTCGTCTGTAGGATGATTCTAACGCTTTTTTGTTCAGTAAAATATATTCAGAGTTACATTTTCCTGTGTAATATTCAATCGTACTCTTTTCTATTTTTCTTCTAATTTATGTCTCATACATAGTATTTATTTCGCATAAACCGGTCTAGAAATTTCAAAATTTACATCATTTAAACTTTTTTTATTTCTTTTTAAAAAGTATTTTCTATTAAAAAGAGATTTTAATGTGCTATTTGTTTTTAAAATTGTTACAATATAATTGTAAAATTCTTTTAGTTTAGTCAGTCGATAGATCTCTTGAGATCGAGACTACGTTTCAAGAATTATTTATTTCAATGTTTTTATTTTGTTTTTTTTTTTTCGGAGTCTAAAAATGGTCATGGATGATCAGTTTTTACTATTTCTAATTCCTAAAATAGACTTAATTATATAAATAAAAACAGTAAAAACTAATTTAGTGTCTATAATCTATAAATATATAAATAGTTGGATACTTTTCTTTATTAATTATAGTTTTTCACTCCTGATATGTCGGATATCTACCGAAAAACTAATGATTATCAATCGTAAGGTGCGGCAGCACTGTAAGATACCGCTGTTCTTGCTTTATTTTGTCCATAGTGCGCATGGCTTTACCTTCAAAACACGGAACAGTTTTAGATGCTTATGCATGGAAAATGAAATTTTAATATTTAAAAATATTTTACCAGAAATCATCCTTCTAAAAATCTTCTGCTTCCATATATCTATTATAACTTAAGTTCAGTATCTTTGTTAAGATTCCAGGTCTCACTTAATCGAATTATTTAACAATTTCAAAATATAATCTGTCTTGGGCTAGATATTTTAAATTTCATTGTGATTGTGATGAATATTGTTCATCCCACTTAAACTCAATACACTTTTATTTTTACTCGTTTGTTTCCAATATATAGCTATATTCCTGGGTCTCTAATATATTCAAAATGTATCTATTCAATTGGTCTTTTTCTTAGTACAGAAGTACAATATCGTTCACATACTCTAAAAATTGGTGTCTGTAGTAATATGTGTCAATGTTACCCTCTGTCCCTCTTTTCAGAATTATTAAGTTAAAATCTATCAAAAATGTGATATATCATAACAGTGCTCTTGATTTCACTTAGTAAACATTTATATATAATGGTTATACACCCCAGTGTGGGGTTAAACCGCGAAGGCTTTATAGATTCTATTCCTTGGGTGGAGCAGTCCCTTTTGTTTATGTTATCTTTTTGACGATACCTCTCTATTTTTCCTGTCTCTAGTTTTTCCTTTCAATTCTCTGACTCCTGTCCTTTGGAGGTCTTTTTCAACTTCTTGCAGCCACTTTGATCTTGGTCTTCTTGGTCTTCCACTTCTCTTTCTTCGTCCTAGATTCCATTCTATCATTGCATATATCACTGCTTTATCTCTTGCTCGATAAAAGTGACCTAACCATTTAACTTGCATTTGCTTTATTTTAGTCACGATGTCTTCTTAAGTTCGTCCTTAATATCTGCATTTGTTCTGCTTCTATATTCATTTTGTTCTGTTATGATTGGTTCAAGTATAGTTCTGATAATCTTTTTCTCTGCTATTCTTAAGTCTTCTTCATTTTTTTTGACTATCGATTTTGTTTCTTCTGCATAATATGTTGGCTTGATGTGTTATAAATGTTCATTTTAATTTTCGTAGTCAATGTTTTGTTTTTAAGTAATTGTTTGCAAAATAAGCTTTATTCGCTGCTAATATTTTTTCTTTTATTTCGGACTTTCTTTATCCGGTTTTGCTCATTGTAACTCCTAGCTATTTGAAGTATTCTACTTCTTCAAACTCAGAACTTCCTATTTTTTTATTGGCTTTTTCCCTAATCTTAATGTTGTTGTCTTTTCTTGATTTAATCTTAGTCCCATTGCCTCCCCTTTCTCTTTTATTTCTTCTATCATTTTTTTCATTATTTTCCTGTTTTTTTTGCAATAATAGCAATATCGTCTGCGTATGCGATTATTTGACCACCTCCTGTTCTTAGATTTCTTATTTATATTTTGTAGTACATATTCTAATGTTAGATTAAATAGCGTTGTTGATAAGCTATCTCCTTGTTTCATCTCTTTATTTGTACTGAATTTCTCTGTCTCTTCTCTTTGTGTCTGTATGCTACTTTTTATTGTTCTCATTGTCATTTCTATTAATTTTCTGAGTTTATGTGGAATTTTTTATTTTTTAAGTGCTATCATTATTCCTTTGCTTTTAATTGAATCAAATGTCTGAAGTCTATGAATAACATTTCCAATTCTAATTTGTATTCGTTTGCTTTTTCCATTATTTGTTTAATTGTGCGTATTGTATATCTTCCTTCTGTGAATCCTCATTGGTACTGTCCCACTAGCTTCTTTGTGATCTTTGATAAATACCTTTTTATTATTGATGTCAATATTTTATCTGTTGTATTTAGTAACGTTATTTCTCTATAATTTTCATAAATTCGTGGGTCTCCCTTTTTATGTATTATTATGATCTGCCCTACCTCCCAGTCTCCTGGCATTAGTAGACATTTAGAAAACTTTATTATTTTCGGCTCAATATCATATAAGTATATGCCCCCTCCAGCCGACAAGACTAATAAAGAAATCGAGCTGTTTTACAAAAATATTTACTTAGTCCTGTCGTCAACTTAATTAGGAGTTACAATTATTTTAGCTAGAGAACAAGTACATAATTACAAACACCTATAAAATTAGGTACCCATGTGAAAACTAGGTACTTAGAAACCTTTAAAATATAACAAATAAAGAATGGCTACAAATCGGATACATTATTTTTTAATAAATGAAAGATACAGAAATTGTATCAAATCAATAAAATAATTCCCAGATGGTGAGAGCAAGTTCTGATTATAATAGCTTGAGAGCACGAATCCATAAAAAATTGCAATGGTTGAGGTAAGACATCGGATGACTGATACAATCCTTCATCTCGTGGATAAAAAAGTACTTTCAAAGATAAATGCACGCAACAATACAGGTCAGTAGAACACTAATTATGCAGTGAAATCATAGGACAAAAAAACATTTTTATAAAACAAAATTGGAAGAAATTGCGGGGAGCTACAACAAAAATATGACAGCCTCCATATACATAAAAAGGGTAAATAATTAACAAGACTACAAAGGATAATACATTTACAACACCGATGGCAAAATAATAACAGGTACAGAAAAAAAACTAAAAACATGAAAAAATTATGTTGAGAAACACTTTGAAGATCATAGACAAAAAGGTTTCAACACATGAACGAGGATGAAGATCCTGGAATAACAAAGGAAAACATTTTATATGCACTGAATAAATTGAATTCCGAAATTTTGATATGCACCGAATGACGTCCTATTAACAACAAGGAAAGATTATATATTAAATATATGGGTTGACTAATTTAAGACACTTAATATAGAGAAAGAAGAAGAAACCTGGAAGACGAAAGAGATGAAAAACAAATTTACCAATATCTAATTAACCGTCAGATTTCTATAAGACATTAAAAGCAAAAAAGAGTTGTAAAGAAGTAATTTTTTAGAACTATTATGTTTTCTACGTTCCCTATTAAATTTGGGTTTTAATAGGGATCGCAGAAAACCTAATAATTTTTAAAACAATATTTCTTTAAAACTTTTACATTTATATACATATGAGTTTTCTGTGATAAAAACAGAGAGGTATAATCTATGGATAAAAAGATGCTAATAATTTAAATAAAGTCGTCCAAACGCCATCTGCCGAAATATTTGACGATTGTTACAAAGAAACCCTTAAAATCATGCTTTCAGCTGTATTTTACCAAGAACGGTTGACTACATCTGTGTTTAGTGTCCTTGGTATTTTACTTTTGTTTTATAGCGTCACCTTGTGTAAAATATACGTACTAATATTCAGAAATATTCTTTAATAGTTAACTACCATTTTATAGATGGCGCTATAGAATTCTGAATTTTTGGAGTTTTCCGTGAGAGTTCTACTTATATGATTAAAAGTAGCTAATAAGTTTAAAAAACAAGTAATCGTCTAAGCGCTATCTGCTGAAATAATTGACTAATATAAAAAGAAACCCATAAAATCATGTTTTTTGCTATATTTTACCTTTTTTAAAAGCGCCACCTTGTGTAAAACATACCTATTGATATTCAGACATATACTTTATTAGTTAACTACCATTTTATAGATGGCGGTATAGAAGTCAATTTACCTATATTTTCCTAGAAAAAGAAAAATTTAGTTAAAAAGATATAAGCGTATAATTCCTGTTGAAGGAATAAAATATTGAAAAAATTGTACATATAGCCAAAAATAATTTTATTTTTATTCATATTACCTAGAATTTATATTTCAATTACGGCAGTAATATATGAATATACCTATTTATTCTTTAAATTTCCAAATTACATAATTTGCACTAATTATGTTCACTTATTATGTACAATTCCTTATCATGTTCAGCTAATATTTCTACTTTTATTTTTATTAATTGCTGTTATGTTCTTTGTTCATTTATGTAAACATCTTTTAGACAAAAAATTATGATTATTGATACCTCTATCTGTAACGAAAAATGTTTAGAAGGCGGTAATCACGGTAAACATTAATGTAACTTATCAATCTTCCAAGGAATAGTTTATTTCGACTTTTATTTGTCTCATTAAAAAGATGTCTCACCA